TCATCTTTATTTCACTTTGCCAGATAAATAGCAATCCTGTAAGTAATGGTAAAAAAAAAGAAGAAAAAAGGAAATCTCTGGATGTTTAGCACGAAAAGTCACTTAAGTTTAATATCTAATGTAAATGTGTGTGAACGTATGATACATGACACAAATAAAGTCTCAGAGACTTGGGTGAAAACATTGAGAGTAGCTGCTGATGATCCAAGCAGAAAATACTAGCATAATTAAAAATACACCCCGAGATTAATCATCTTTATTGCTACACACCACGTCTATCCATGTGTGCTTCTTCACGGTCTTACATCATGAGTGCTACTGAGAGTTAAAGTGAGTGAAAAGAAAATGAGTGAAAAATTGAGTAGATCTGACCACACCATTTTCACATTAGTGTTTACTCTCAAGCCACTTTTCATTAGAAACTACATTTGTGGTTGAAGATCCAGAGTAGCAGAGTGTGCTCGCTGCTGAATTGCTGTAATTTACCTACTAAAATTCAGAAACCAACAGGGTAAGTGGCTATTATCTGAAAATACTGTGCAAAGAAAAGGAATGTTGTTTCTCTCATGTCTCAGTTTTTTACTGAAATATAGATTCACTTCTGTTTGATTTCAAGTGTCATTCCATAACCCTTCCTCTTTTGCTCTCCGTTTCCTTTTCTTTAGGAAATATGATAGGAAATTAGATTCTTCTCAGGCTTCTGAATGCTTGAAATAGGCCATGACAGAGCTTCTGGATCCAGTTTGACATTTATCCTAAGAATTTGAAATCTATTCATCCATCCATTCATCTGTTTATTTGTTTTATATCTTTATACTGGTTGGGCCAGAGGATCACTTCCAGTGCCTTTCAGATTCTGCAGTTGCTTCATTTCATCCCAAGGCTCTTGCAGTGGCAACTGAGTCCATAACTCTGCATTATGATTGAGGTCTTGGTATTTTATAGTGCAGAATTTAATATTTAGTTTACGCATGTGTAACATATTCCACTGAATATATCCCACTAAACTATTAATTATAGGCTGTGAGGCAGAGCGATCATTTGTGGTTGCAAAACACGGAGGCATTTTCTTCCCTTGCCCTCCATTAAGCGTAACTTTACACACTAGCAGTTTCTTAGTTTTTGTTCCAGAGTAAAACTAAAATTGCTCTTAAATTACAATATCTACATTTTATTTCCTTCGTCAAATATGTTTTAAGATGCTAGAGCAGAGCTTGAATCCCTTCAACAGAGATACAATTCTGGCCGATAAGACCGCTTGATAAATAATGGTATCACTTTAACAGATGTTACAGACATTGCAGGGTTGGTGAATTCATTACCATCTTTGAATGACTCCAATTCAATTCAATTCAACAAAAATGTATTTCAGTCCTCACAGATAATTTTCCATAATAAAGACAAAAAATATACATAATTACCAAAAGAGATGTCGGCTGAACCTACTTGGTTTGTTATACAAATGTTTCAGTCAGGGCAAGAATAACTCACTCTAGGGGTTAGACCATTTACTGTAATTTCTCAATGTTTTTTTTTTATAAATCATCAAGTAGTTTGGTGCTTGAGACAAAGAGCATGCACCCCTGATGAATAAGAAAAGGCTGAGAACTATTCTTAGAGGAATGTTGTAGGTAGGACAGTGGAGTGAAAGACAGATCAGGGAACTCTTAGACATTTAATCAACTATAGCTTCATCACACGGGAAATCAATACCAAAAAAAATGTTGTATTGATTACAATTTTATTGATAAGAGTAAATTGAACACTATACTTACCATTAATATGACTTCTGGTAATGCATTGTTTTAGTGAGTTATTTGTCAAGTCAAGTCACCTTCATTTCTATAGCGCTTTTTACAAAACAGATTGTTTCAAATCAGCTTTATTTTGATAATAGAAAATGAAAGCTACAAAGATTGTTTTGGCTGTACACCAGCTCTAGAATAAAGTCATTGTCTAGCTTAAGTAAGTTTTTGATTGATAAATTTCCGTTGTAAAAATCATTAGTTATTAACTTAGTGGCCGCTTACACGACACAGTTTTGAAAACAGAAAACTTGTAATGCGTTCTGGCACCGGTCTTTGTAATTTGTCTTCACATTAGATTTTTAATGATAAGCAAATGAGACAAACCACAGATTCAGATCGGAGACTGGCAGTGACACTTTCATTTGAGCAGAATTTCACAGACGACATTGTTAAACTCCAACATACATGGTTTCCGGTGTTGTCAGGTCATCAGGTTTTTTTTTTTTTTTTTTTTTTTTTTTTTTTTTTTTTGCAGCACAGAGAGAGAGAGTGCATGAGCATGGTTGCCAGATTGAGAAGATCAAATAAATCACTGGGCAGAAAATTTGTCTTTTTAGGAGAAATCCCCCGTTTGGGGACCTGGCAACCCCAAGCAGAAAATATAGTGGAGGCTTGTGTTGTTGCCAATGCAAATGGAAATGTCAAAAAAAATAAAATAATAATAATAAAAAAAACCTGTTCAGGACATTTATTCAGTGGGGATAATATTGCAACAATTATTTTTAATTAATCGCGAGAAGCAGAAATCGTTATCATGATTAAAATATGATTAATCGTGCTTACATTGCAAAACCAATCAATAATCATTATTGAATGTATAGTCATATAGCCTACTTTTACATTTTAATTTTACTTAATTTTAATGAATGTAATAAATAATAAATATTTCACAATATTTTTTTACTGTATTTTTGATCAAATAAATGCTGCCTTGGAGAGCATAAGAGCCTTTTTTGAGAAATGTATATAACATATTACTGCCCAAAACGTCCTATAGCCTGTAAAACCACCCCAACTAACAGAGCATTTTGACATTTTGGTGGCCTGTCAATAATGAAAGGAGGGAATGTCTTCTTTCTCTATCACCACTGCCAATTTACAGCCAAGACTGACAAGAGCGTGAAGCAATAATGTAATCATTATAGGGCTTGACACAGTGCAGAGGTCTGCCACTTACTTCCCAAGTTCTCTGCTGGATGCACTTTATTTGGGAAATATCTAGGGCTTTACTTTGTAGACTGGTGATTGGTTGGGTTTTGTCTTCTGTCTCGCTTATCTGCCCCTCTGGTGCCTTTCAGACTCTCTCTGTACGTGTGTGAAGTGAGGATTTGACTTACTATGATTAAGGTAAGGATGGTGCAGCGTGTGTGCGTATGTGTGGGTGCAGTGGGCCACCGTGACTGTTGTTGTCAGAGCTGAAGGTTGTTAGCGACTCAGTGAATGAGAAAATACCCGACGGGCCTCACTCCCATACCATGTCCGCCTACACCCAGACAGAGAGCGATGAACGGACTTTATGGGATTTCACCCAACACCTCAAGTGGTTAATTACGGGATGTGTAACCTGACAAGTGTTTCCACGGTAAAGTTCTGGAAAGTGGAAAGGGATGTTATTGACAGCTGTTGGAGAACTGGTCTTGTGTTATATTGATATGAATTTTATGATATATTTAAGTAATATTAACGTTTATGTGTATGTGTGTATATATATATATATAGAGAGAGAGAGAGAGAGAGAGAGAGAGAGAGAGAGAGAGAGAGAGAGAGAGAGAGAGAGAGAGAGAGAGAGAGAGAGAGAGAGAGAGAGAGAGAGAGAGAGAGAGAGAGAGAGAGAGAGAGAGAGAGAGAGAGAGAGAGAGAGAGAGAGAGAGAGAGAGAGAACAGAAATATTTAGTAACATTATAAAATGTCTTTACGGTTACTTGTGAGCAATTTAACTCTTTCTCTTCCTAAAAAAAGTTGCCAGCCACCGCCAGTATTTTTGATCGTTTTCACAAGTTTAATGGCCCCCAGAATATTTTGTTGTATGAAAATCTGATATGCCATTGTATCAAAAGGAATAACAGACCCTCTGCTTTAAAAAAATAAATATAATTATTCTAGTGACATGCATTCCTTTTTTATCAACACTTGAATCTGGGTAAGTTTCATAAAAAAAGCAACATTTTGAGCAAAAAGCTTAAGGTAGCTTTCTCTCAGAAGGTGCCTAGCGCTCCCTAACTAACAGTAAAAACGCGGAAAAACGGATTCTCGGATATTTCCATCAATGCGGAGAAGCTTTGTATCACAAATGATGCAAATTTACGTCAGTGGCAGGGAAAAAGTTTATGTGTTCTTGGTAAATAAAAGTATGTATACCCCCCCCCCCCCCCCCACACACTCACTTTGTGTTCTTCATTTATTTAACAGAAAGGGTTTTTTTTTATTATTACATTTTCATATAAACAGCCATGAGACCTGCAGTGCCGTGTGGTTTATATTCTGAAACATAGTGAATAGCTTACCGCAACAATGGTTTGCTGGTAGACCGCTGGCTGCGTTATGTCTAATTGAATAGGCGCAAATGGGCTTACAACCTCTGATGCTTAATTAGTTCAGGGTACACTGTTACAAAATGAATTAATACATTTCAACACAGTCAATTTAACTTGATTCCAGTGTGGTCTGACAAAAGTAATGATGTTGTATATACAGTGGGCTACAAAAGTCTGAGACCGTTTTTTTTTTTTCTCATTTAATGAATTGTTTTCATTACAAATTATATTGTAAGCATAACAATTTGAGCTAAAAGTTTAAATGAAATACTAACATTACTTTCAGATTGGCTTTGTATTTGATTTGTCCCCTTTTGCTTTTATGGAGCTCGGGTGCTGCTCCCATTAACTCCACAGGTGTGTTTGTAAAACCTATAATGATCATGTTCTCCAGCATGATTCAAGCCAAAGAGCATCCTGTGCTTCAATAGAAGCAAGGACATCTGATCTTCACGAAGAATGCCACATGATCAATGACACAATTCTTTTCATTTGATTAGTGATCTGGAAATGTTATGTCTTTAATCGTTTTAATATCCTAAAATTGTCTGTTTATTTCCAGATTTGAATTATATTTTATTTAGACAATTTAGATCTTTGTACCCTATTTATACTCCCTCATGTGACCAATTATGTATTTTCTCTTTTTTTGTTTCAGAATCAGAGAGGGATAAATGAGAAGTAAGAAAAGAGAGGCGAAGTATGACTTTGTGATGCATCGCAGCGTGGGAAGTCAAATCCAGTGAGGTCTCCGCCTTTCCCCCTAAACCCCTTAAGAGACTACACCATCCAGGGGACACTGTTTCAAGGATTCTCTCTGGACCCTGATACCCACAGGAGGGGTGTGAACAGGAAGGCCCAGAGGAAGTGGACAGTGTGGGCAGGATGTGGGAGGGACTGAGACTGCATGTGTTCTTCTTGTGTTTGGGGGCTGCACTATGGAGCGCTGAAGCGACGTACAGGGGCTCAGGTCTACGGGAGCGCGGCCACCGCCACCATCTCTCTTTGCACAGACACAGGGAGAGAGGCAAAGAAGGCCAGGTGCTTCACCGCTCCAAACGAGGATGGGTCTGGAACCAGTTCTTTGTCATTGAGGAGTACACAGGACCAGATCCGGTCTTAGTAGGTCGGGTAAGTAGAAAGAAGCAGCTTCTACATCCATTTCTTATTGTCCTGTTCCCCGTTCTCCATCTCCCCCCCCTCCCTTTTTTTTTCTCTTAAGGTTATGCTGTGAATGAAAGTCATTGGGGTTTTCATTACAGACAGAGTCCTTGCAATATCCTCCATTTGTTCCACAAAAGCAATCAGTGGCCCACTTGATTAAAGGTTATAAATTGGATTTCCTTTTTAATAACGGTGCAGTCCCCTATGGTTCTTGCATAGGGGAAATGGACGATTTATGGGCCTGCCGGATAGTTACATGGCGAACCTTCAGTAAGTTGGCCTTTAAATTCCCACCTGAACCCAACTGGAGGTTTAGTCTTATTGAGTGGGGATATTCTGTGTCAGGAGTTTAATTTCATTTTTAACCAGCATAATCAACATGCCTTGATCCGCATCAGCAATATATGATACTATATGAGTGCAACTTATAAACATCACGAACACAAAGTTTGTTCTCATTGTAATATGAAACAATGACGTTCGCTCTAGAGTAATGTTGACTTACACTTAGCAGAGGGATGTTCCCCTATGGAATATGCTGTCAATGCAGCAGCAATCAGGTTAGATATTACTGTAAGATATGATGCTATCATAGGTCGCTGAAGACCAGCCAAAAAGCTTTCTACTTCGAGTCAGCATTCCTGTTTGACCTGCTCGTTGTTGTTGAAAACCTCTCTTTCTCTCCCTCCAGCTTCATTCAGATGTAGATTCAGGAATTGGAAACATTAAATACATCCTTTCAGGGGAGGGGGCAGGCACTATTTTTGTCATTGATGACAAAACGGGCAACATTCACGCCACAAAGACTCTGGACAGAGAAGAACAGGCCCAGTACACACTGACCGCCCAGGCTGTAGATCGAGACACCAACAAACCCCTAGAGCCTCCCTCAGAGTTCATTGTCAAGGTGCAGGACATCAACGACAATCCTCCAGAGTTCCTTCACGGCCCTTACTATGCGCGAGTGGCTGAGATGTCCAATGTTGGTGAGTGCGAGCCTCTGGAAAAGCATATTTGTCAGCTTCTTCTCTTTCTCTATGAGCCCACGCCTGACAGCTTGTTCCTCATGCATTATTCAAAAGAGCTGAAATCTGACTCTCAGAAAGTGAGTCGGTAGCCTTGTTGCAACTGTTGTTTTGCGACTGCTGACTTGTCTGGGTGTGTGTGTGTGTGTGTGTGTGTGTGTGTGTGTGTGTGTGTGTGTGTGTGTGCCTGCATTTGTTTGTGTGCATGTGTTTGTGTGTTTACTGCATTTTCACTGTGCAATACATCATCAGTAATGCTCAGCTGTCACGGGGTAACGATCTGTTACCCCAATACCCCCCGCTCACAGCTCACATAATACTACTGGGAACCTCGAATGGCTAGTTTTGTCCAGGTCAATTGCTTATACTTTTAGACAAGTTGGTAAACATGGTAAATTCATTTTAGTTTGTAAACAGAATCAGATTTCATGGTAATTAGCCGACTGAGACAAAACCAGAGGCTAACGGGTTTATCATCTAACTTTAGATTCTGAAATAGTCGTGCTACCTATAAAAAAGGTTATTCAAGCTCAACTATACATCCTGAGAAATAGCAAAGTTGCAGAATCTCTGTTATCGTTGCTTCCTCAATGGGAGATGTATCCCAGACTGTGAGATCTGTGCAACATCCAAACGTGTTGGATCCTTCTCATGGTTGATTGGTGATGTTCTTCCTCTACAGGTACTTCAGTGATAAAGGTCACAGCCACGGACGCAGATGACCCCACGTATGGCAACAGCGCCAGGCTGGTCTACAGCATCCTGCAGGGCCAACCTTATTTTTCTGTGGAGCCGCAGACAGGTACAGTCGTCAATAAGGATATTTTCACTGGTTCAGTGTTAGTTCTGTGGACCCAGCCATGCATTCAAAAATGCATCATGTGCAATTTCAAGTCATGTTTAGCTTCAATTCAATTACCACAGAATGACGATTGGGAATGAAGAGGGTAGTCCTTTCACGCTTCGCGAGAGCACCTTAGCTTTCTCTGAGCTAAATTAATTTGTGGTCACATTAGTCCTACAATGTCCCGGTGGCAGTGGAAACCCCTACAGCAGTCAGAGGAGATGGAACAGATGCTGCTAATAAACTAAAGCTGGATGTTTTTCTTGATCCTGTTCAGTGCGGCTCATCTGTGTGGTACCAACAAAGCCATCATACAACTATTTCACGTATATACCCTTTGGACTATGGGGGAATGCATTTGTTACATGCTTTATGAGCCTCAATAATGAGCAAAATAGCCAAATATTTTTTTTTTGTCTGAAAGATGAATGAATTTTTGTTTTATTGTACTGCAGTATTCTTACAGTAAGTGTAAGGCCAAGGTCAGTTGCCCTACTGGATAAAAGCTGACTGTGTATGATGTGTACATGGTAAGGGAAGATGCCCCCATTAAGAACAGTATGCATTTACTGCTAATTGTAATACATTTACAGATGAAATTAGCATTGATATATTGATATTGATGATGATCATACAGTATATTAAGGGAAAATACATATCAAATACATTTGTCAAATTTTTTGCTACTGAATTAGAATATGAATCAAAAATGTTTTTTTTTATAAGTTGTCATTAATATGAAATCAGTTATTATATGTAAATGTATGCATTTTGACTGATTAGTTCAATAATTGAATAGTGACTGTAAAATCAAATAACAGAATACAATCATGCATCTGAATTTAACTTTTCCATAAAATCAATAATCTATAAATTTAGACTGAATGATTCCTCTCAATTAGCCTATTGGTTATAATGAATAATGAAAATTTTTGAAATGTAATTCATTCATTTTTAGAGGGGGGCATCTAACTTAAAGGGTTTTCTAATTACTACCGCAACTAAACAACTGTTTAGATGGAATAAATTTCACAAATGTTGATGAAAAGTCAAGTCAATTAATAAGAGCATAAGTGGCTCAGTAAATGAGAATAGATTTTGTGACACCTGTGAACCAAGAGCACAAATGAATGGTCTGGAGGACATCTTACTCAAATTTGATCTATGCCTGTACGTGTGTCAATAGGAATCATTCGAACAGCTCTTCCCAACATGGACAGGGAGGCCAGGCAGGAATACGATGTCGTCATCCAGGCCAAGGACATGGGTGGACACATGGGCGGTCTGTCAGGAACCACTCAGGTTAAAATCACCCTGACTGATGTCAATGACAACCCTCCAAAGTTCGCTCAGGGTGAGAGAATTTATTCTTCCAGCTGTGAATGTTCTCTCCTTCTTTGTCTTTCTCTCTTTCCCTATCTCTATCTCTCCTCCATCCATCATTTTTTGTCCCCCTCTATCCTTGTCAGGTTTTATTATAGTCACCGTGGCCATGCCGTGCTCTTTGGCTGGCTACACACAACATTACTCTGACCTCTGCTATGCATGCACCAACCAAGGGAGGCGAGTTTGCTTTTAGCCAGTGTACAGCTCTTTCTTTTCCACACTTCAATCCTCAAACCACATATTAACATTGACAAGCCCTGAGGGACCAAGTCAGAATTTGCTAATATGAGCTACAGATGTTAACATGAAAATATCACAACTTAATTATTCAAATGTTATTTAAACGTTCAGCACGAGCACAATGACATCAAGTCTCTCAAGCGTGAAAGGCTGGATGAAATATTTACCGTGTTTGCGTACATCGAAGAGAGTGGGAACGCGCTTGTGTGAGGTTGCGCTCATGCATTGTCAGTTAAACTGCACACTAAGCACATAGATTGTATCTGTCTTTTTGTTCCAGAAATCGGCCCTATAAATCTCCTTCTAGCTTTCGCTTTTTTGTGCGCTCTGAGCCTCAGGCTCAGTAGCAAAGGGCCTTCAAGCTTTTCCCTGACTTAAGCAGAATGCAGCATGGTCCCAGTGCTCCGGCTCCTACATAAGCCCTGTTTTTGGTGCTGGTAGAAACCGTTATTCATGGACCAAAATAAACTGTACATTGCAAGGTTATTGCCCACAATGAGTAGCTTAGGCCAGCATATCCTTAAATCTACCTCACCAATAGTTTGGAGCCTACTGCAAAATGGAACATTTCAGGAGCAAGATAGATTTTTAATGTAGACAGCAGTTTGGCTCAGAGCGCAGGTGAGAATCTGAGCTTCAGATATGTAATGTGGTTCTGTTCGCCCCGAAAATGAAGCTTGAGCAGTTGGCTGTCTCTTTTTAGGCTTGATATTGATTTCCAGAGGTGTTTGCCCTATCCGAAACTGACTTTGACACATGACTCACTACAAACTTAGCTCCCGAAAAACGTGTAGATGAAAATGCTCCCTTTTTCTTTCTTTTTTTGTCTGTCGAGGGTCTGATTGAAAAAACAGACCTTCCTGCATGCCCTGGCCTTTCTTCACGAGGACTTCCTCCCCATGTGGGAGCTATTTTTGTAAATGCAGCTGAAGTCTTTGGCTTTCAGCAGACAGGGAGTGGAGCCATATGGTCTTTCTGCGAGCTCCAGCCTCAGGCAGGTGTCTGTTATAGTCTTCATACACCCACCCACATACACGTACAGGCTCACTCGAGCACACACATATAAATTTCACACATGCACTTGTGTTCTCACCAGCTAAGAGCTCACAGGTGCCAGGCAGCTAGCTAAAGGTAGCACCGGTGTCATGCAGCGAACTGACTCTCCATTCCCAGGTGGGCAGTGTGATCAGGATTTTTCTTGCCTGGGATATTATAAATCATATTACCTTCTACTCCTCCTTTCCTGAGAGCTCCCGGGACTCACTCTTCTACTTTACAGGTGTTTACGCCATGGCGGTCTCAGAGGACAAGGTTCCCGGGGAGGAGGTGGGCCGACTGAAGGCCAGAGATCTTGATCTTGGGGAGAATGGACTGGTTGATTATCGCATCTTGGAGGGAGACGGCATGAACCTTTTCGAGATCACCAAGGACTCTGAGACCCAGGAGGCAGTCGTCAAACTAAAAAAGGTGAAGTGTGTAAGGGAGGAAAAGCGAGTGCCAAAGAAATATGTTTGAATGCGACCTCTCGTTATGTAAGTGAGCTTGTAAATGGAAGCAAGTGTGCTCCAGAGAAAGGGAGGGGTGTTCTTTTCAGATATCATTACTGTGAATTTCTGGCCATCCCTTAGTCTGGTCTCTTCTTGAGGAATAGTTTGCATTTAGCTTATTTGCTTATTCATTTGTGTCCCTATTTGCATGGACGCTCATACATGCAAGGTTGTGTGTTCAGGTGTAGTACTATTGGGAAGCTAGAGTGATTTTTCACCATTTTCACACTGTAATTGCAATGACATTGGCCATCCCTTCCCCATTATATCTGAGATGAGCATTGACTTTCATGGCTGCTTCTCTCTGTCCATGTGAGGGGAACTCATCTGGGCCGGGCTGCCCGGGTTATTTCTCCCCTGCTGTGAGGCCCTGGATTATGCAGACAATTACACAGCCACTCGGGTTAGACTGCTGCCCATCCGTACCCCCACCTCCTGTGGACGAGGCAAATTCCCACATCGCCTTGAGGAGCCTGCTCACCACCAACCAGCTTTAGCCTTAGAACCAAAGAGACCCAGTCTGCAGCCGTACCACTGCCACCTGCTGGTGATATTTTACACTTCACCCCACAGCTTGAGATCTGTAATGATCATCCACAAAATGATGGCCAGAAAAGGAAGCAGATTGATGAAGAATTATTGCAGTTTGAGCTGTGTTATCTGGTGAAGCATCAGCATATTGTGTATGTTGTTTGTGTAAAGGAGGTTTGTATGGTGAATGATTGGGGCATTGTGTCAGCCTCGCTTGTTTTTTTTTTGTTTTTTTTTTTTTAAGCGTCATTGCCACAGCAGTGCATTTTCAGATTGCAGAGAAGGGTATAAGGAGGGGATGAATCAGGAGTAAGGGTGAGAGAACAGACAATACGGCATGCTAACAACAATCAGCTTGATGCAATGCTGCTTCACTCAATAACACAATGCCTCGCTGATACACCTCTTGGGAAATCATCACCTTTTGCTCTTCAAAGCATGTTGAAAATTAAAGTCGAAATTACTGACGGAATTGCCAGGGTTTTAATCAAGTATTCTGTTTCAACTGCGGGCAGGCGACGCAGGCTGAATATTAAGCAGAGACGTAGCATTATTGTGAATATTATCTGCTTCTGATCAGGTTCAGTCGGGAGTTATTAGGTGCCAAATAAAGGATTGTAGTAGGGGGAAAGAGAGAGAAGAGGGACCACTGTTGTCAGGATAAACAGAGAATAGTTTCCAACCTGTTGGAGGAAAGAACTGGGTCATAGTTGTTTCAGCGTTTGGCAGCTCCATTAAAGAGATCCAAAGGAAAGAAAAAGGGAGAGAAGAGAATGAGGAAGCAAGAATTTTTTTTTTTTTTTAACCAATCAACACACAGCTAGCTGGCATGTGTATGTGTGAGTTTGTGTTTGAGTTGATATGTACCCTTTATGTGTAATTCTCACTTGGTAATTTGTGGCCGAGAGGTGTGACGGGTGAGACAGGCTGATCAGAACACAGGCAGACGTGTGAAAACTGGCGATGCAAGAGGACACAGGCAGACCAAATGATTGGCTGCATTTGAGCACAGTTGTTTTTTAAATGTTGTTTAATTTGCTTACACCTAAATGGCATGAGAGTTGTGCCAGTGGAGAATTTTGGAAAAGTGCAATCTGAAACTGAAATACGTTTGCAAGAGCCTTGATATTTGTATCATATGAGCTTCTTTGTGGAGACAGTCTCCTTCAAAAATGTATAACAACAGTGCCCTCTAGTCTGTGTCTTTTAAAGTTTGCCCCTTTTTTAAATCTGGTTAGATGTATTCCAGTGTTTCTTTATTTTCTAATTACTTTCTGTTGATTTATTGGTAATCTATTAATGGTTATTTATTTGCTCAAACTTATTTATACAGTAATTCCCCTTTGGTTCTCCGTGTAGTCAAGAATCTATTGACACAAAGGTCATTTTCATCTTCAAACATGTACAGTGATTCCTGAATATATATATATATATATATATATATATATATATATATATATATATATATATATATATATATATATATATATGGTAACACTTTACAATAAGGTTCATTAGTTAACTACATTAGTTAACATTAACTAAGAATGAACAATATTTCTTCAGCATTTGTTAATCTTTGTTAATGTTAATTTCAACATTTACTAATACTTTATTAAAATCTTGTTAACATTAGTTAATGCACTGTGAACTAACATGAACAAACAATGAACAGCTGGATTTGTATTAACTAACATTAACAAAGATTAACAAACACAGTCACAAATGTATTGCTCATGGTCAGTTCATGTTAGTTAATACATTAACTAATGTTTAATAAATGAACCTTATTGTAAAGTGTTACCATGTATATGTTTCTATTGACAGCCTCTATCAAATTGAATAACCAAATTGTGTCCTGACCTTTTGTGTTCAGCCTGTGGACTTTGAGACAAAGCGATCGTACACACTGAAGGTAGAAGCTTCCAACCCACATATGGACCCCCGTTTCATCGCCTGGGGTCCATACAAAGATACTACCATTGTGAAAATATCAGTAGAAGATGCAGACGAGCCCCCGACCTTCATGGCTCCCGTCTACGACTTTGAGGTGGAGGAGAACGCTCCAGCAGGCACTCCAGTCGGTCGTGTGCATGCCAAAGACACCGACATCATGAACAACCCCATCAGGTAGCACCTCCTTCCTGTAAAAAAAAAAAAAAAACATATTACTTTTGCTTTGCCTGTTTTTTGCCAGTACAGTATGATCAGTGCTTTGTGTTTGATGACAGTCAGTAAGGTGCTGTACTGTTTTGGGAATCTTGATTTATTAGACAAAATTTTAAGAGAGACTGAGAAAAAAAATAATATATATATATATATATATATATATATAGAGAGAGAGAGAGAGAGAGAGAGAGAGAGAGAGAGAGAGAGAGAGAGAGAGAGAGAGAGAGAGAGAGAGAGAGAGAGAGAGAGAGAGAGAGAGAGAGAGAGAGAAACCCCCCAAAAGAAAGTTTTCACATTTTATTTTTTTCTCTTTCATCCCAGATATATGATCCCACGCTACACAGACTTGGAAGAGTTTTTCACCATTAATCCAGAGGACGGCATTATTAAGACCACAAGGCCCTTAGATCGGGAAGCACAGGCTTGGCACAATATCTCTGTCAGTGCTACAGAGATTGGTAGGTCACTCATCTCCTTTCCGGGCTTTTAAATAACAGAGTAGCCGTGCATGTTTCTCATTTTTTCCCTAACCAAGCACTCCAGCACTCCCTCCACCCTGCTCTTATGTGGTTGAAGTGTCGCCAGGCCTCCTGCATGATTTCAGAAGAGACAGCCACAGATTACCTCTTCAAACTTCAAATGATACCCTCAGTTCAGTGAACAGAGTGTAATTGGCCATAAATGTTATACATTTATTTTTGTGTGTATGTGATTTCCTTGAGGTGCAGTTAGTGTTAGTTTCTGGTTGAATTCAAGGTTTCTGCCTGATACATTTTCCTTTTCATTCCACTGTCTTTGATGATTTCAACCATCAAAAAATAAATAAAAATACAAATATAGAAAACTACATAGAAAACATTATTTTGTTATGTGGAAGACTCTTGTGTCTGAAAGCATAGTATCAAGGCATTCACTAAACCTGATAATTTCAGATAGGAGCTGTGAGTGAAGCACACTTCAGTCTTTTTTAGTCTTGTCACTCATGTCCTTCCACTACGGGCTAACTTAAATGTATACAGCACACTGATTATAGATATATCTCAAATAATTTGTCTTTTTTGTTTTATTTCTGTTGTTGTTCCAGGCGGCCATCACCAAGATGCAAAAGTACGAGTCAATATCAAAGTCAAAGATATGAATGACAATGCTCCAGAATTTGCCACTCAAAACGAAGTGCTTGTCTGTGAGAATGTCAGCCCTGGAAAGGTAAGTAAACTAATTGTTTATACTTGAGAACCAATTAAATATTTTTAAGGCTAATTAAATAAACAACTAATTAAATCATCAGTAACACTTTACAGTAAGCTTCATTAAGTGAGGAATAATTGACAACGGGGAAATCTTTAATCCAGCTCCACCAAGCTGAGGATCCAGCTTGGGTGGTCTTACCAGCTACCATGACCTGGTCATGCTGGTTTTTCCAGTAGGGGAGAAAAAGAGTATGTGCTTTCCGTACGTAATAAAACATAATTTTGTGACAAAAACATGGAAATAATTGGTCATTTTTATCGTATTGTTTATGTATTTATGTATTTGCTTGGTCAGTGTCATTGAGGGTTTTGGTTCTTTTACTGTTGTAGGCTGTAAATAATTTGATGAAGTGATACTTTAGCCATGCATTTGCCTGACAATATTTGCACAACTTAGAACGTTTGTTAACCAATCAGATATTGATATAGTATTTTTAGTTAGATATTGCATTAATGTTAACATACACATCTACACTAACATTCAAAGGGGGGTCATTACGTTTTTTTTTTTTTTTTATAAATGTTAAATTATATTAAAAAATAAAACAGTTATTTTAAAGTGCAATGATATTTCACAATATTACAGGTTTTTTTTTTTACTGTATTTTTGATTGAATAAATTCAGTTTTGTTGAGCATAAGTGACTTTTTCAAAATAATTAAACAATCTTTCCGACAACAAATCTTTTACACAATAGTGTATAATCTTATTGTAAAGTGTTACCAGATAATATTTTAGTCTAGTGGTGAAGTTATAGCTTAAATGCTATTGCTTAATGTCATTTATTTGAATGTACCGTATTAATATGTACCTGTTAATTTTAAAACTGTCTTTAAATAGGTACTGAAAACTGTTAATGAATTAGCTAATTCCTAAAAGAGGTCACAACTTCCATCAAAACTTTTAAATGAACACAAAAAAAAGATTAAATTGATTTTGAAAATTTAATCAATGCCGTGTTCACTTTCCCTTTGTCGGGCAGGTGAAAGTTTGAGTGACTGACAGAAAAAAAGAGAGAGAATGAAAGAGAGATAAAAGAGGCATACATTTATTTAAAGGCATGCCCTGGTGATTTTAACCAATTTAACATGACCTCATTTGAACTCTCTGCTCCACAGCTCATTGAGACAGTCAGTGCTACGGATAAGGATGAAATGGCCCACCGCCAGCACTTCCACTTCAGCCTGGCCCCTGAGGTCGCTAACAACCACAGTTTCTCCCTCAAGGACAACAGAGGTGAGTGACACACAAAACACCCCATAATAGAATAATTTGCACTGAAGAACTGTTTCTTTCAAGCCAAGTACAATGCCTCAGGAAATACGCCAATTGAAATACAAAATATTTTAGTCTCTTTCCAAACCAAATGAGTTTTTCCATGCGTAGGAGTGAGTGTGTGCAGTGTCGCCCAACCAACCTCGTGTTGATAATTAGGTCATGATGAGGTGGGCAAATTCAAGTCAACTTCCTCTCTTATTAATTATGGAGGCGTCACTCTCATTTGAGCTTCTCCATCTGTGGATTGGAAACGTGGGTGAGGCCCAGCTGGTAGGCAGCCGCATTTATATCTGCTTCTCAGAAATCCTGCTTGGTGCACCAAAAAACCCCAAAAAAACATCATCACCATACTTTAGTCTAATAGTCTTTACCCAAACAGGTCGATGCAGTTTTGAAGACCACATATAAGAGCCCTACCTACTGTAATGTGTGAGACTCAATTGCTGGGAAATGAGAAGTCTGAAGTTTAAGCTCACTGAAGAGCCTCTCTGAGGAGCGCCATCGTGACTGGGTGGTGCTCAGTTTGAGGGGAATTTGCTGCTTTTATATGAACTCATTATTATTGTGGCTCTAGGTAGATTACAAGCTGAATTATGAATGTTTCAAATAAACTGTAAATCGTGTTTACTTTGCTTACAAGGAGCTTTGGTGTTATTTCAGAATGCTCGGTTCGACTGCTATGATATGATAATGAATTGTAGTCCATATGATAACAAACTAAACTGTTTCCCACCTCTAGAGCTGTTGAGTTTGTAGTCGTAAAACCTGGTAAAGAATTTGCGTTTTTCCAATCGTTTTTCAGAATTACTTCAGATTTTCCTGTTTTGTTTACATAAATTAAACTTGTGCAAGCTGCTATTTTTTCATCGCTTAATAAGGACTACACTATCTGTGACTTTATGTGCTTAGCGAATCAGACAACTGTAGCTCCATTTAATTTACTTAACCAAGTTTAACCACAGACTTTATTTGACTCAAAAATCGAAACCTTTTCTATCCTAAACACCCCAAGAGACCCCATGGCGAAATAGCCTTGCAGGTTGACCTACAAATTGACGTCATGATTGAACCTCTCTGTTCCACTGGCTAATTTCTGATTGTGCTATATTTCTCTTTGACCACCGATAGATTGGAAATATCATGAAATACAATAAAGCTGTCAGTAGCTGGTGCTGTTATCTTCACATAATTGTAGCCTGACTGAGTGAAACGTGTTAATTGTATTTAAAGTGTAAATGTTTACAATCAGAGATCTGTTTAGGATTTTTTTCTTCTTAAATTAATAGCGTGAACCCATGTGAACATAGAAGATGAGGGAGTGAAAGAGAAATGACTGTCTTTCCCATTTGGTCTGCTTTAATGAGAAAGGAGATGAGCACTTTTTAGCAGGCCATTTCAAAAGCCAACAATATTAGGGAGACAGATTAGGCTACTCAGAATGACTGGCTTTATCAGGATCCAGAGCCTTTCAAATGGATACAGTTTTCAACAGCTTTGCCGACCCATTTATCTGAAGCTCCATTATGATCCACTCTCTGCACAGAGGCTCTGACATGGCTCCTCTTATTAAATGGACGTAATGCAGGCCTGCTGATTATATATGTGCATGAACTCTAAATATTAAGAGTATGGAATGTTATCTGTTTAGTTGTAATAAAAAAAAAAGTAATAAAAAAAGCATCAGATCTGGTTATAAATGTGTTCCTTTTACAGACTGCAATGTTGTGAAAGTGCCAAGTGCATTTTAATGTGGGAATTAAACATCCAGAAATTGCATCTTTTTGGTAAAAGGTAATATCAGGTGTTTATGATATCAGGCTCAATATTTTTGCCATACATCAAGTGTACGTGGCCAGTGTATCATACGCATGCCTGCTTCCTTGAGATCTCTAAGTGTACTGCATTCTCAAATAAACGTGGCCCAAAAACACGACATCGAAAACAAGGACCCAGAGGTGCTGTCTCTGGTTCAAATGTGGCAAATTAATACTTCACACCCGGCATGGTAATCTCACTGACAGAATATGATATAGAATTATAATGGATCGCATTAGATTGATCGAGCCTGTCCGCGGCATCGTGCTATATCAGCGTTGTAGCCATATCATTAGCGGCCTTCCCTGACAGAGCCAGTGAAGGTTGAAGAAAGTGGTGCCAGAGGGAGTGAAAATGACTAAACCCCAGGCCCCTAAATGAACTCACTCCATCTACGCCTTCAGCGTGACCTTGCACTGAGTCAGGGAAATGCACTGGCACTGATCCATCCCTCCCAGTTGCAAATAAAACCAATACCGCTCCCTCCGCTCTAACTTTGATTACACTTCCAAAAGCTGATAAATGTTCACAATATTAAACATGAATTTAATATTGGAAGATTCACACCTCATTGACTCTCACCGGTGGCTGTGGGTAGTTCTCATGGCACCTAAACTCCAGCGAGGGGAAAACTTTGTAATTCTGTTCAGCACATTAACAACTCTGTTGTGAATTTACTAAAATCTTATAATCTCCTCATCAGCTGAACTAAACATTCCATCAATGTTCCTCTTTTGCTTCCACAGACAGCACCGCCAGCATCTTTGTGATCCGGAAGGGCTTCAGCCGATTGACCCAGGATGTGTACCACCTTCCTATTGAGATTAATGACAACGGCGTACCCTCGATGAGCAGCACCAATACTCTTATAATCCGTGTGTGCAGCTGCGACAGCAAAGACACCATCCTCTCCTGCAATGTGGAACCTTTCATCCTGTCAGCAGGGCTGAGCACTGGAGCTCTGATTGCCATCTTGGCCTGTATTGTTATTCTACTAGGTGAGCCTAATTGTATTTAAATAAGAATATACAAGCAACCATGTGTAAATGATTGGGGTCTTGCTTGGTTGGTTTAAACATTCTTATAGGGACCCGATGCTTGTCAATTTTTGCATTTTACCCCAAAAATGCACGTACACACACATACAACTACAGAAGCATACAGTACTTCACAGAGTACATAGTTGATTTACTTTGCTTGTCTCTAAAAATTAATCAGAGCTTTGTTTCCTAAAAGCAAAATGAGCCTTAGAAGGTTGTAAAGATGATCATTTGCAAAATTAATATTTTAAATTGTCAGAGACGAATGCTTTAGAGTAATTGTAGTGCTAAAATACATTGTAAGTAGGCAAACTAATGGACCTGTTGGACAACCGCAAAATTACACATACACATTGTAAGCATACTTTTAACCAACAATGCGTAAAATAAAATATAAAAAAATGTTAATTTATCAAATTGCTGTGACTGTGTAAGATGTATAAATAGATTAGATGGTAACACTTTATTTTAAGCTGACGAAGCTACACGTTACAACATGCACTTAGTAAAGTAATATCAGTAAATTATGCATAATTACAAGTAACGAGAAATGCTGTTAGCATTGGCTTGACATTTGTCTGTATGTCTGCAGCAATCGTGGTGCTGTTTGTGGCCCTGCGGCGCCAGAAGAAGGAGCCTTTGATCGTATTTGAGGAGGAAGACATTCGGGAGAACATCATCACCTATGATGATGAGGGAGGTGGAGAGGAGGACACAGAAGCGTTTGACATCGCCACCCTACAGAACCCAGATGGTGCCAATGGCTTCCTGCCCCGTAAGGACATCAAGCCCGAGCTGCAGTATCCTATGCGCCCCGGCCTGAGGCCCATCGGCAACAGCGTGGATGTGGATGATTTTATCAAATCTCGGATTTCTGACGCGGACAATGACCCCACAGCGCCCCCGTATGACTCCATTCAGATCTACGGTTATGAAGGTAGAGGCTCTATCGCCGGCTCTCTCAGTTCCTTAGAGTCGGTGACCACAGATTCAGACCTGGACTACGATTACCTCCAAAGCTGGGGGCCACGCTTCAAGAAACTTGCCGATCTTTACGGCACCAAAGACTCCGCTGACGACAACTCTTAACGTTCGCTCAAATACGTCCTTTTTCATCTCCCTCCACCCGGCCCACCTCCACTAACTGTGTTTTGTGAAGTTTACTATAAGTATTCCATGAGTTTGTCACTTTATAGTAAACTTTAGCTTGTTTGTAAGTATACGCACAGTATACTAGATGCTGGGAGCCTCACAATGTGCTATGCGGGAGCCAGAAGGGTGGAAATAAAAATGTTACAAAAACAAAACAAAAAAAAGATAAAAGAGACACAGACACATCTGTGGTGGACGTGTCTCTGTGGTGTGTATGAAATGAAGAAATATGTGACAATTTTGTTTAAGACCTGAAGAACGTTCTGTTACATTTTCGATGTTTGTAGGTTCCTACAGGTTTGAGGTTATGGATGTGGATCACAGAGAGACATGGATTTGTTGATACTGTGAACGAGCTCACAAAGAAATAAAAAAACAAAAACAGTTGCCTTAAGTAATCTGGAGCGAACGTCAGCAAATTAAGGGGCCGTTTACACGACACCATTTTTAACTAAAAACGCAAAACTTTTTTTTGTGCGTTTGCCTGTTTATTTACACGACAACTGCGTTTTGGGGGCCTGAAAACGCAAACTTTTGAAAACAGGCTTCAAAGTGCAAGTTTTTGAAAACGATACCGCTATGCGAATTTGTGAAAAGTGACGTCCTGCGCATGCGTATTACATGTTCAGTCTATAGGCGCATAGTTTTTCTTTACAAAGTGACCTCGCCACCTACTGGCCTGGTCGGCATAGTACAGCATTTTTAATTGTTTTCGCGAATCAGTGTGAACCTGGGATCATTTTGATAACGTTGTCTTCTGTACACAGAAAAAATGCAAAGGAAAAGCTTTTTCGGTTTTTAGTACATCGATGTCGTGTAAACGTACTCTTAGGCTTCTGTAGCTTCTGTAGCGCCTCCATATTGTCTTTGGAGACATTGTCCAGACAGGTCCTTATATATATATATATATATATATATGTATATATATATATTTAAGGAAGCAGATGGATTCAGCAAAAATAGACTGTGTTTTTCTGTCATCTAGAATAAAAAAAAAACCTTCAGCCCAGTTCCATCTACGAACAATCACAAAGAAAGACCTGTGAGCTCAAAAATCGCCTTAACTAATGGACACTCTTGCAACTTAGTGCATTTTTTGTAACTTGAAAGCTATATCCTAAAGCAAGCTAAAGTCCTTATAGCGTATGTACAGTACAATGTGCAAAATATGTCTCTTGAGGATCAATCTTACACCGATCAGTTTATGTAAATCTTTCTCTTTTTTTCTATTATGATGATATCATTATGACTATAATTTTTTTTTTATGTTTTCTTCATTTCTCATTTTCTTTAATGGCTTATGTTATTCTCCTTGGTGAGAAAATAGCAGTCTGTCCTGTCGCAGTGAGAAATGGCTAATTTCTATGTCGATTTTATGGTAACTATTTGTACAATTTTAAAAGTTCTTATTTTAGTATACATACAAATATCAGTATTTCAACATGTAAGGAAAATATTACAGCATCACACTTATATTTTATGAACATTGTACTGTTGCTTTATTATGTGCTTCAATCTAAGAAGCAAAAACTTTGAAATAAATGCTCTTTTTATAAAAATGATTGATGGTGGTAATAAATTTGTGTGAAGAAAATCTATTGGCGCTAATCGCTGTAGCACAAGCCATGATGAAAACACAAAGGTTGAACGTGAATACAGAGCCTTCAAGTTTTTTTGCATTCACACTAGCAGAGACGTGCAGAGCTTTTCACCAGCGGCTTCGGTGTTTTCCAGTGGTAGGTCTCTCCATTGTGTCCAACTATAGAGGCTCGCATTCTTCCTCTCCCAGGGTAGCCGCACACTGAAAGGTCAATGTGCACTTTGTTAAAAAAAGAAAAATAGCATTACATAAACCCTAACTTCAGCCCACCTGACTGAGATTGGACACCAATTTCCCTGAAGGGGCTTGGAAATAAACAGAAGAGCACTGCTGCAGGCTCTTCTCGCCCATGCAGGAAGACTGCATGCTGTAGCCCTGTATGGAGTGAAGCACAGAAAATAGCCTCTGATGACAAACCGCACCATGTGGAACCGTTGCCCTTAGCTATCCTCCATGCTAGATGTCCTCTTAACAAGCAGCTAAAACACATGCCCTTTAAAAATACTGGTTTTGGTTTATTTTTACCTGAGATTTGTCAGAAAGGATATGGCTATCTGCGATTCTGAGCAGAAGAAAAAAAAGGTCACATGACAGCAGCTGTGCAGTTTTCATGTCATGTCGCTAGACATGTTCTGTCAAAGAACTAGATTACGGAGGTGCACTAGCAGTGGGTGGCATCCGCTTGTTAACTGATTAGTGATTTCAAACCAGTGTTCCACGGATATATGTCAATCGGGAATTGCTGGATTTCCACCAACATGGCTGATTGTTTTGAAATGCGGTTTACTGTTTCTGAAAAAAATGCCCTCTACAAAATGTTGTTTAGTAAAGCAATACAGATAAAGATTTTTGTCGCATTTACACACAAAGTACTGAGTCGGGTTTTTTTTTTTTTTTTTTTTTTTTATAACAGGTCACCTAATTCGACTGGATGATCGGTATAACAGGCCTCTCAGCTTTTTCTATTTTCTGGCTAACCGGTTCTCTCAACCAAACCCACTTACCATTAGCCTTACTGTTCTGGTGATTATCCTGCCACCCTCTGTGCCCTTTAGGTCCTACTAACAGGGCCCGGGGTGATTCCTACAACCTCTGTCTCTCCTCGGTGTCTAGGGAGCGCGTGGGGAGGGGCAGACTGCAGCTCTGACTCGTATCTCAAGGATCTATACAGAAAGTGTCAGATTCTTCCCTGGGTACTATGAATCAATAGTTCCTTCCTGACACTGGCGCTGCAAGCATTAAGTGTGGTTGGGTCCACTGCGATGTACCTGAGATAGAGAAGAGGGTGGAGGAAAGACCTGCACAAAATGCTCGAAAGCCCTAGAAACCTATCGTTGCATATGACAGACAAGATCAAAATTAGAGGTGAACTTTCTTTGTGAATGTCAGAAACACAACTAATCAGAGAAAACAACAATGCATACTTATCGAAATCAATTCCAGTGTCAATGAGGGTTCAAGATCAAAATGATTTTGTAATTTTGTAAGAGGGTCACATTGTCTCATAGCAGTGATGCATTTGTATTGCACAGCTGAGGGACAAACAGTTTCTCTGACTGTGCATGTGGGTGTTTGTGTGTGAAACATATCACACATCCACTTTATCTTCCTTGAGCTTCGCAGTGCTTTATTATTATGAGAGCGAATAGTAGTAGTAGTACATATCATTTACATTTTATTTAAATTGTATTATATTATTATATGCCTGAAATGATAAAGGAACATGATCTGTTGTCAAATGAATTATAGAACATGGAACCTGTATATTACTAAAATAGTTCTTTCTTATGTTAATTTACTCGGCTTTGTGTAACTGAATAAATCCTGCTTAATTTTTTTTTTCTTCTATCACTGGCAGAAGCCATTATTCCCTTTGTGTTGTCATTCAGCACTAAGCCCTCAATTAAGAATTGTAACTGCTCTGACTGATTTTGTCTTGTTTGCTTTATAGGATTGCTTTCAACAGGAAATTCAAGAAGATTTACTGTTGTTTGATTGTTACAAGCTGATTGTTAAGCTTGTAAGCCTGAAATACTGAGATACTGTTAAAGCAAAGGCAGTTGCTTCAGAAGTTTTTAGAGAGAGAGAGAGAGAGAGAGAGAGAGAGAAGGATGGTGGGAAAGCATATTTGACCTAAGGTGGAAGTCGGAACTAAAGGCTTGTGGAATTATGTCCATGATCACTTTTGCACAGATAACGCATCAAATGCTTCCACAGGAGTTGCTCCTCATCGTTGTAGTTGTAGGATGGCAAAAAAATGAAGGTGTAGAAAATAAATGTAAAAGTTCAAACCTGTTCTATGATTTATGGTGTGTCACAGGAAACTAGCAATAGCTTAGCTTCCATAACTCACCTCAGGATCCTTGCAAAGCTTCAGGGCCATATTGCTTTTCTGTTCTGTGTCCCTCACCCACGGGGATGCAGGGATAAATTTATCGTTGTGCCCCAACAATATTGCACACTTTTTGTTGTTCTTCACAAAATACGTACAGAACACCTGGGACAGTCACATGGGACCAACATTTACCTCAAAGCACGGTAAGGATACAAGTCCAGCAGCATTCCCCCCCTCCTTTAAACTGTGAGTTAAACCCATCTGACCTCTCAGACTCATGTCTGGAATACATAATGACACCAGCTCCTTTTTGTCAAGTTTCAAACCTCACACTTACAAGTTTGAAATTTCTTGAAATATGTTTCAATATAATTATATTTAACTATATACTATTCTATAACAACATTCTATATAATTGTGTACTTTTAAATTTCAAATTGGAATTAGCAACACTAACAAAAACATATGATTGTGTTTTCTGAACAGGCACCAGGTTTTATTTTATTTTTATTTATGTATTTATTTATTGTTGCTGCCATTTGAAGTATGTTGGAGTATTGTCTGATTTTAATGTTACTTCAATATGGCAATCTTTTAGTACCATGGTATTACTATCTAATACCTTTACTGTACTGTGCTGCTGTAAAACCAGCTGAACGTCTCAGTGCTACCATTTTGGTTTGCCATGAAAATTATGTTTGTGGATAGAATATCATTAATCCTGTTTAACTTTTATAGTGCCGTATAAACCAAATGATCCATCATAACTGCTTAACAGTAACTTTTCAGTAGCTTTCCACTTTGTTCCAGTTCTTCAGTATGAAATGTCCTGACATTCTTGGTGTTCCCATATCAGAACAGGTAGTGTTACGTGTGACAGCAGCCACTGTGACATGGGAGTTATCATATTTAGGCCAGCGTATGCTGGATTGGGGAAAAGCTTCTGAGAATTATTTCTGGACTCACAGAGGACCAGCGGTGTGAAAACAATTAAGAATTTTTTTGTGACTTTAATTAACATTTTAGTTAATATAATTGTCTCCCAGGTCTTAATCGCTAGAGGTATGGCTAATTAAAACATATATCCTTCAAACTCTTAATAAGTTGGCACACTATGCATACTGATATGATAGATCTAAGCTGGCATGTCTTTCCACACTGTTCCACGTTCTGGAAATGTTCTGTCAATTGGGGTTGTTAAGGTCCCTTGTCAACCCCTTCACAAGACATGACCTAATATACGATATTAGGGACTAAAATGATCAGTGAAAAGACGTGATGATCAAGTATATAATATTAAGTAGCCAATACAAGCTGGAATCTCTTTGTATCTAATTATGCTAATTATTAACCTAATTCTAGTTTGGGCATTTCAAATGTATTATTATAAACTAGGTCAATTAAATCAGTTCTCAAAAGTGAAGTAATTTAAAACTGGACATGTTCACCAAATCACCAAATGAACTTGAATCAGACCTTTCAATGATAGTTAATATGAAAATGTATGTATTTTTTATTGCAAGCCTGACTTACAGTATATTTTAACAATACTTCCTTATTTCATATAGCTATATCTAAATGCTATTTATTTCAAATAAATATTTATTTATTTATGTATTTAACCTTACTGTTGCAGCAGCTCACACTCCAAAATGTATAATTGTAACAGGCTTGGTCAGAAATTCAATTTTACAATTGTAGCCTCCCAGTAGCATGGACAAAAAAATATATTTATTTTTAAGAATAAATAATTCAGTTTTCAGTTTTTAAGAATGTAACCCTAACATACACAGTTCACCAAGTACATGCATCTCATTGTTTTATCTGCAATCTTCTCAGCTGATATTGTAGGAATGTATGTCTCATCCATGCACTTTTTGGCATGCTTGTCAAAACTGTCAACATTATTACATGTGAGCAATACTGAATTTATGTTCAGATTTATATTTATTAAGAAAAAAAGTGATTCACAGTAAACGAGATTAGCTATGCAAATATATATATATATTTTTTCATTTACAGTATAAAACAAGCAGTATTTTGCATCTAATTGCATCGCACATTATGTAAGATATTTTTGACCCACGTATGCATTTTAGGAGGGAATTTATCTATGAGTTTAAAGATAAAACAAAAATAGGAGGAAAATAAACAGAATTCAAACACATGCAAATGAACATATTCAGCAGCACCCTCTGCAGTAGAAGCCACATCTCAGTCTGAGCATGGATGAGGAGAAGGTGAGGAGAGAATTAAAACGAAAATGAGCAAGACAGAACCAGCGAACGTCTTCTGTGAGTCACCATGGGGATATATCGCTGGAACGCAAAAGTAGCAATTCTTATTCTTCTTACGCACAATGGCATCAAATCACACACCAAGGACATGATGAGGTTAAGGCCTGTGGTGCTATACTTTCATTCCCCCTCACAGTCGCAAATGACCACTTATGCTTTAATAATCATGCAATGGTAAGATGCGTGTTCATGTGATTTTATGTGATACTGACTTCTGAGTATCTCTGAGCTCTGATTACTCTACTTGACAACAAAAATGATTGCGGTCAGATTCTAGTTAGTTCTCCAGCCAAATGTTTAATCACAAAAAGTTCTGGGGCAAAGTGAG